GAGATTGATTTCGCTTTGGCGGGTAGGATATCGAGTTTAAGCCTATGCTTGGTCCCCATTTTTTCAAAAACTCATTTTTTTTTAAACTTATTTTCAACTACGCATTCTCATATAAAATAATTTAACAAACAAACCAAAAAAATTTTCTTTACTTTTAACTACACATTCTTCAACAAACACACTATTCTAAAATGCATTTTAGCCAAAAAAGGGAGGCTCAAACAGGGGCTAAATTGGAATTGTAGTAATGAAAATGGAAAAGTACAAAAATAACATGGAAAATAAGTGTACACCACAAGAAGCATTGTAGGATGTATTTTTGGTTCTAGATGGTTCAAGGACTAAGTTACCGGAAGTAGAAAATGCCAAGGATTAACTTGCATAAAATAGTAAACGTGAGGACCAATTTGATGCTACCAGAGAGAATAGGGTCTGATTTATGAAAGAAATTGAAATTCTAGGGGCTATAATGTGTAATATTTAAAATTCAGTGACCAATTGGAATCAAACAAAAAGTTTGGGGTTCTATTTGTAACTTATAATAGTTCAGGGACCATTTGGAATAATTCCAAAAACTTAGGGACCTAGATTAAAATACGTACTTTTCAAGGAGTAATTTGCAACACCTAGAAGCTTTTGGGTAAGACACACATAATAAAAAAAGGAGGGATCGAGAGGGAGATTATTGATAAGTTATGTGTCCAATTAGCCTAGAATAATCTAGATTCTGTACAAAGGAAATATATAGGGGTGGGCGCGGGTCGGTTCGGTCCGATTCTCTTTAGAACCGAACCGAATTAAAATTTTTGGGTATCTAGTAAATGGAACTCTCGGGTCCAAATATAATTATGGAATCGCTCGGGTTCGGTTCCATTCAGTTCGATTCGGTACTATAATTAAATTTTTTAACATTTATAACAACATTATATAAATACAACTAATGATATATTCAATGGTTTTGGAATGCAACTGCTAAAATAATGTTCAAAAGAATTATATTATATAGATAATGCAACTAAGTTGATCGAAATAGTGATAACCCAGTAACGTTAAAGAACTATGAAAATTTTAAACTCGGCTTCCTTTCCTTAAAAATGTTATTTGCTCAAGAGAGTTGATTAAATTTTAAGATAAATTACATTGTGCATCTTCAACCTTTCCATTATGCAGTAATGGAAAGTGCAAATGGATCCTCACAACCGCAGTAAAATTGGCATGAAATTATATTTGTCTACTTCTATTGGTTAGGTGATCTTGCTTAACAAGGTGATGAACAAGATATAGTAGATGTTGAACACATTTGTCTACATCAGTATCAATTAATCTAAAGATCAAATAGTGACATAATTATAATGTCCTGTAGAGATGTAAAAAAAAAAAAACACATTTACCTAATAATATTACATAGAATTTCTAAGCCAAAATTATATTTTAGTTCCATATTAGTCAATATGTCATTAACTTCAAAATCTACACGATTTATTAGTAATACAACTTTACAAGCTCTAGATTCTTGAGAAAATTTCCAAAATTGAAAAACATGGAGAGACCAGGTCAAGTAAAAAACATTGACAGTTGTTTTGCGCGGGTAGTCGCTAACAATTAAAAAGGGATCAGACGATTGTGTAAGGAACAAACCTCTTGAGACAAAGTCCCAAAAGGGGGTGTTTTATTGGCGATGATTTTATAATTGGAACTAAATAGAACGCCTCCAAGGGGCGCAAGCACACGAGTACTGAAAAGAAATGTTCAAGTCTAAACTAAGAAATTCAAATTACATATTCTCTGTTTGAGAGTGTCTGATTCGGGGTCCTTTACTCTATGTCTTCTCTTCCTTTTATATTCCCTTGATGATTTCTTCGTGATCAACCGCTTAGAAACTACTTAATTGCTTTATAACTACCCACTTTCTTTATGGTGGCTAACTTGTCGTGGAACTGCCGTCTCTAACTGTTGCCACTACTCTTTGTCGTTCAACCGTCTTCAACTGAACTCCTTGAATCGTGAAACGTGATAAGGTTACTCGATAACTGTTTCAATAACTGCACTTTTGGATAACCATAACATCTTATATTTGCTAAGATCCTGGGCGATTCGAAGGTTTGAGTGAGAACATTGTCATAGCTCTAGGCGACTGTAAGACACTTCATTCGCTCAGATCTTGGACGTCTTGCAAGCTTGGGCGATGATGTTACTGTGTTTGTGGGCTTCCACTACATTCATTAATAACCCCATCTGGGTCTTTATCCTGAATTGTCCAGTTGAGTTTCATTCTTTGGGCTATTTGATTTTGGGTTTCTTCAATTGGGCTTCATTCCCTAAGCTATTCGATTTAGACTGCACTTTTAGTGTGTCAACAACAGTTGAATGGTTGATGAATATATTGACTAATCTGTGAAGTTAGTGTAAAGATGGAAAAAAATCAAAAAGGTTAAAACTTCAATACCATAAAAAATGGAAATGGGAAAATTGCAGTGAGGGTCACTGACCTTTTTAAGAAGTATAAATGAGTCCTCCATGATCCAGAAATATATGCAAAATTTAATAAGGTGGTAATTACATAAAACCCTAGAGTTAAAAATTAGGGTTCAAAAATCATATGAGTAGTTTAATTGTTCAAAAATCAGATTTTCATCTTTAAATTAAATATCAATTACACCTGAATTTCATTCCAATCCGTTTTCTCTCTCTATCAATTATAATTAATTTTCTCTCTCCCCATCTCCTTCTCTCTCTATCAATCGTAATCCATCTCCTTCTCTCTCTATCAATTATAATCCATCTCCTTCTCTCTCCTCAAACTCTCCTCTCTCTCTCTCTCTCTCTCTCTCTCTCTCTCTCTCTCTATGGCAGCTCAAAAAAGGTTTAGGAGGTAATACTTCTATTTTCACTCTCCCCACCCGAATTCAACTTCACCGACAGCTTCATCCCCAGGTTGTGCCGTCTTTTCCAGACGGTAGTGCAGCGATCTGTGACCTTATCTTCATCAGCGGCTACAATGCGCATCTCTCTCGAGTCTCCACGATCTATCTCTGCCACCGATTTCTATGGATGTGGATCTGTCATCGACGTGATGGATTTGTGGGTGTCGGCCGATGATATTGGATCTCTAATGTTGGATTAATTTTTTGGATCTGTAATGCATCGGTGGTGGCATTGGGCGGATGAGTTTTGGTTTTGGTTCTAACATTAGGCTGGAGGAGAATAGGGAGGAGGACAATGGTGGTTTGTGTGTCGAATGGCATGGGTGACCCGATCCCTTTTTTTTTTTTAATTTTTTTTTATTGTTTTGGTGATTGGTTCCTGTTAATGTGGTGGTGGTTCCAATAGTGAGGGATGGCTGGTGGTGTTGTGGTTTTACCCACGATGGTGTTGCTGTCGGGTGGCATTGGTTGTTCTGGCGGCGATACTGTTGTACGCAGAGGTTGTCACAAGTGTTGCTGGTGGTCACATGGTCACAGATTATTTGGCTGATTGTGATCATTAAATTGATTAATCTGTGACCAATGGAGACCGATGAAGAAGATAAATTATGACCAATGTGACCTAAAAAAATATCAATTTGTGACCGTCTAAGGACTGTGACCAATACATAAATTGTGTCGTATTAATTTTCGATCTGTGACCGATGAACAAATTATGACCTATAAATTTTTTTAATTGTGATCGTAAAATAATTTGCAATATTTAGAAATTATGATTTCTGATCAAAAAATAATATATGACTAATTAAAATATGAATCTGTGACCAAATGTATAGATATGTGACCTTAATATATGACAAAATTGAATAAATTGTATACTAATTCAATCATTAAATCTGCAATTTTTTCCTCAATCGTGATTAATTGTGTGGGTTTGGGATGTAAGTATGTATTTTAAGGAGTTTGTTCAAGTATGGAAACTGGATGCTTAATTTTAGGGATTTAATTGCAACAAAATCCTCTCTCTCCTTGTCTCTCTCGTAGTTTTGAAATTAAAAACTTGTCATTTGAAAATTAAAATATAGCATAGTTAATGTAGGGATTATGAAATTTTCCCTTTAATAAGTTGTGGGTAGTGGACTATTAGTAATGGGTTGTTAAAAAACGATCATATTATACTAAATAGTTTGACCCATTAAACAATTTCAAAAATGATTAAATAAAATAACAAAAATAATTATTTTAATTAAGAAAGCCCAAGAGCCCAATCAAAGACGTATTTATTATTGCATGAAATGTGACCCGAACTCTCCATGTCCCACACAAATGTTACGTTTTCCATCATTTGGGCACTTCGTCTAAATTACTAATTTCTTTCACATATTATATTTATTGTATAAATATCTAACAATTCTTTTGCTTTCTTAGCCATGGAAAACTTCTGTGAATCTAGGGCACGAAACAAAATCCCCATCTTCGTATTGGGTGAAGAGCAGGAGTCATCATAAAGTTTTCAAACAAGATTCTGTCAAAAGATATCAGTTGCTGATATAAGTGACTCTACTGGTGATGGGATCAAATCTTCACTTTTTCACTCTGGAACAACTGAAAGAAATTACAAATTATTCTCATCAAGTAATTTTCTTGGGGAAGGGGGATTCGGGCAAGGCCACTTTTAAAGGATCCTAATAAATATTAATGGATCCAAGACAGAAAATTCAACACACAATTATCAATTTATTTATACAAGAAAAACTTAGAAAATTCCTCCAAATAAACCCTAATCTTTATCTCGTATATACATGTTATTTCAGTTAACAAATTTATGTTAGATCAGAGCTGAGGGTTGTCTGGTTGATACTTATATGGGGAAGGAGGAGTTTGGTAGATACTCTAAAATTAAGCAAATTACTATGGTTCTTTTCCAGCTCATTATATGGTTTACATGCCTAGAAATATATGAAGTGGCGAAGAAAAATACTAAACCTTAAGAGGATATCAGGTTGCTATGCCTGAAGAATTAACACAAAGCCTTGGAGAGAGAGTCTTTCGCAGGTCGCGGTATCTCAACTACAACTACTGGAGAAGCTGGGGATTTTTTTTATGTCTTCCTCTCTTACAGCATAAATATGATGACTTAAAAGATGTGAAATGAGACTGAATAAAAACAAGAAAGACAAGACAAGAACATAAAGGAGAATAAAGAATTTAATACAATACTCTCTTAGAACAAATCATAGAGTACAATATATACAAGAATGTATTGTATACAATTGCATTAACAATGTGCAATAACAGATCGAATATCTCACATAATTCATTGACAGATAAATTCTTACGATCATTCCATAGAATATTTTATTCTGACTCTTTTAACCCTATGAACTTGCTTGGATCTTGGATTCGCCTCGTTCTCAGAGTAAGTATTCTCCTTGTTGTCTTCAGCCTTAAGTGTTGATTCGGGGCTCGACCTCTTTGCACTTGCACTTGCTTTCTTGACAGAAACCATATGATTGTTTATCTTTTCATGGGTTTCTTTCATATTTCTTGCGCACTTAATCTTGGACCTTTCGCGGTCCTTATTAAGCTTCATGTACTTTTTATTCAGACGCGACTTTACGGTGGCTAGGTAATCTTCAATGGAGGTCGATTCGTTCTGATTTCTTTTCAGTTCCTCTGCCATTTGATCCACGGCCTCCATATTTGATTTCAAAGAATGATACTTCATGTCAAATTCATACATTTTTTCCTCACAATCGAACAGGACTTCTTCACATTCAGTTATCTGCTGCAGCACAGCATCCAGTAAAAACCTGGAAAACTCAATATCCAATTCCGGGTGATCCTTGAATATAACAGAAACCCTCTCACGAACCCGATCAATGTCCTTGTATTTCCGAAAACCATTAACAGCATCAAGAAACGATTTAAAATTGTAATCATCCTGCAATGTTTCCGCAACCCAATTCACAAATTCAATACAGGATTTTGTTTTTTCCCTTCCAACCTCATCGGATGAATTTCTTGACGTTGTTGAAGCAGAAGCAGCATCTTTGTCCCTCCGTAAAATCTTTGGCACAAAATTGAGAAATTGTGAAATCAAATCCGGATGACCGCTGAACAAGTTCTTCACCTGTGAAATGACACTTTCTGGCTCTGTAAATTCTCTTCTGAACCTTTCACATAGATAACGAAACTCTCGATAAATGCTTTCTTGATCGTGAAACCGTTGCTTCACAATATCAACGAACGACAGGGCATTGTCGAAATTGGGTTTAAACGCCATAATTTCTCAATAAAGGAATAGCAATGGCATGAACAGAAAATATAATTTGTAATCGGAATTTGCCAAATTCAGACATATATAGGAATTTATGAAGTCTAATTGAATAAGGCTAAATCAGAATGTGATAAGATTCTCTAATAATCTTACTTCAACAGGGTTTCCTTAATTGCTTCTGAATTTCATTTTCAAACTTATATAGGATTTTATGAAGTCGAGTTCTAATTGAACAATGCTTAAATAGAATGTGATTAAGATTTTCTGGTAATCTTACTTCATTAAGGATTCCTGAATGGCTCTCGAATTATTTTCCTTTCGTTGCCTAAATCCGTCGACGAGCCGTAGATAGATAATAAGGGCGTACTTGAAAATTGAAACAATGGGAGAATTGCATGGTTGGTTATCAATGTTATTCCAGAGTTTAAAATGGTCCACAGCCTACTAAATAAGAGCAGGTTGAGTCTCAATCTATTGAATTAGTACATAATCAATCTCTGCATGAACGAACCATTCAATTAGGAGAAGCAACGAGATAAAAGCAAGTTCGAACTCATATATCCCCATTTTCCACGTTTCCTCCATCTACTTATTTGTTTCCTCTATTTACTTATTTATTTATTTTTCTAACATTACTTTTTTTTTTTATTATATTAGTACTGCATATAATAAAATAAATAAGAGACGGGGTAGTGAACATACTCCCTTCACTACCTTGATTTACCAATGTGGTAGGAGATTGTCATCCCTGTATTCAATTTTATATAAATTTGGTATTTAAGTTTCAAATGTCTAGACTTTTAGAGGTAAAATCATTTTTATACTTTATTTTAATTAAAAGATGAGAAGAAAATTGGGGGGGGGGGAACTAGAGAATAATTTGAGGCCTGAAATTGCGATTTTTGTAATAAGAGAGAAAAGTCTAGAATTAAGAGCAGACCTGAAAATTATTAATTTTACCCAATAATAATAATAGAATCTTACTGGAGTGACAGGGTCACGTAGATTCTATTCAAACAGGTTGCCTATTGACTCTGGGATCCATCGCGCCAGACTCAATAGCATCACTTTTTCCATGTTCGTTCTCGTTTAAGCTAATTAATTACGTCAATTGCCGGCTAATTAATTTGTTCCACAAAATTATTAACTCGAAACATGTCTAATAATTTTCTAGTGGTTCAAGACAATACAAAGATGCATTTGATACATATGAAAGTAGGGTAATTAGCACAAAACGTCCATACCTTTCATGATTTTTGTGGAAAACGTCCAACGTCCATACTTTCGTTTTTTTGACGCATTTCATCCCTATCTTTACCTTTTTTTGTGCAAAACATTATTTTCATCATTTTTCTCAATAAAAAGCTACAAAATAACTAATATACCCTTCTATTTAAATTTAAAAAAAAAAGAACTAAATGCAATCTTAGTTCCAAATAAAAAAATAAATACATTCTCCACCTCCACCTCCTCATTTAAGCTTTTTTAAAAATTGAAACTATGATTGCAATTAGTTTTTTTTTTAATTTAAATAGAAGGATATATTAATCATTTTATAACTTTTTATTGAGAAAAATGATTAAAATGATGTTTTTCACAAAAAAATGTAAAGGTAGGGATGAAATGTGCAAAAAAATGAAAGGTATGAACGTTTTTCAAAAAAATCATGAAAGGTAGGGACGTTTTGTGCTAATTACCCTATGAAAGTACAACATGGTAAAAAAAAAAAAAAGCATATGAATATTAGGGTCTTTTTGGCAATATTTATTTAGCCCCCGTTTGGCTCCCATTACATTAAATTACATTATATTTTATTTTTCTATCTCCTACTTTCAACCACACAATCTTTCATAAAATACTATTACACGTAAATCAAAAAATTTTACTTCTTTTTCAACCACTCATTTTTCAAAAAAATTACTATTCCCCCATTTTTACTTCAAAAAATGGAGGCCAAACGGGGGCTTATTTATTTTTAAGTTTTGCTTCTTGTAAAAGAGCTTCTTAAATAAGTTACTTTAGATCTATTTCCTTTAGAAGAATTCCTAGTCAAACAAAGCATTTTCAAAAAATAATTCAAAAATATTTAAAAGTAGCTTCTTAAAATTAACAGCTGCTATTAACTTTTTAAATTCATACCAAAGGATTCCTAATTGACACGATGCAATGTAATAGTTAAATAGGCACGATACATTTTCTTACAAACAATAGTTAAAATGTTAAATAAATAGTCACGACACATGTTCTTACAAACAAAATTTACGTTGCAACAATGTGTCGATGAAATGGAAATTGGAAGCAAGACCATTTGAAATTGTTGGATATTGGTTAAATAAATTGAGAATTGAAAATCGATTAAAGTTTGTATCGAATTCGGCCAAATACTCAAAAGCTCGACTCAATCCGTTTAGGCAAAATTGTTTGCCACTTCGCCAAAAAGACCTCAACCATTAGTGAATAGACACCTTTTCATAAAGGTGCATTGTTTGGAAATGGTGCATGGTTTGGTCTCAACCATTTCGTCCACACCCCTTCATGGTCTATAAATAGGACCATTTGGGTGTCCTATTCCTCACAGTTTGATATGCAAAACGTTTCTCATCCTCTCTTCTATCCAAAATCAAAATCATTTCGTTTATTTTGATTTTCTTTCATTTCATTCTTGGAGTACATAAGCCTAAATTGGTTCGTTGTACTTGTGTTTTGGAGTGCTACAAACACAAGTGTAGCCGTTGTATCTTGGGAGTCGATTGCCGAAATCCGTAGGCACCGTTGCGGGGCAAATTCGACTTAAGGACAAAGAGTCCAACTCTTGCCTCGGCTTTGTCACCATCATTATACTTATTTCAGCGTCACTATTCACAAAATTCATCCAACAGAAATTGCCTAATTTAAAATCAATTATAGACTCCTATTTTCTTGTGAATGACACGATCATTACAGAAATATTTCTAACTTGTAAATAATGGATTTTCTTCTGTCAAAACTTGTTTATATCCACAAGTCGGTTTCTTAAGCTATTAATTATGCTTTGCCCATCTGAGTCATTACATCTAAATTTGTTGTTTCTGTCACTACATATATATCATGCTCAACATTTAGATTGGACAGTAATAACAACTTATGTCATTTTGGTCATTCAACCTAATTTATCCAAGTCTTATGGTTCTTGGAAATTCTTTGAGTTCCTTAGAATGAGCCACGTACATACATCTAAAATATATCTTCAAACAGCCCTTCGCGTGTAGGTCGCACATTGTTTCATCAAAGGTATGTCAAGTGCACAATTTGCATAAATGATCTGTGAATCAAGGTTCTTTACCTGACTCCAATACCATGGTCACCTTCTCATCTAAAATTTTAAGTTACCAGACAGGGATGATATGTATCTATTTAAAATATATATATATATAGTAGAAACAAACTGCTAGGCAATCCAAACAAGAAGCAGGTGCAACCTTTCAGTGTCCTAAAGCCAATGTTCAAATCACATTTTCATAATAAAGACATTTCACAAACCCGTATTGTCAGGTTTTGAACTCTACAAGGTCCACTCCTATTTTACTTCCACATGTAGAAGAACTCAGTATAAGTTCTAGGAAGTCTTACCTCAAACAGATCCCTGTAGGACCGAATTCCACAGCCAAGCAATCCAAAAACCGGGCTCAGTTTACTCAAAACATCGACACCATTCTTGAGACAACTCCAATATCACCTTGTACCACCAAGGTCCGGTTGCTATGGATATAGGAAGGAGAAGGCCAAGAAAAATACCCACAATATGTCAACCACAAAGGTCACAGAGAGGGAGGAAGGAACGGCCGAGAGGGAGAGACTCACAAAGAGGGGTTTTCACTCTAAAATGGAGGCCGAGAGATTGAGAGCAATATATGCCAAGGGTATTGTCCAAACAAGGTAAGTTACAATTAGGGCTAAGTGGTGAATCAAGGCTCGACTCAAATAATTGGGCCTCAACACATAGCCTTCCAAGGAATGGTGCGGGAACCGTGAGTAACACTATAAAATAGGTTACTTCGAACGGTCCATAACAAAGTGGATTGTGTTGTCTCGTTAATTGTGTTGACGTACTAATCAATCATTAGGTCGAGGCCGATTGATAATAAACAACCGAGGTTACATCATTGCCCGGGGAGGTCGTTTGACAACAAAAAATTGCCTAACAACCTCCACCTTGGTGTCAAAAGACCTGCAAAGAAAAAATTGTTTCCCATTAGTGACACCTCTAATTGAAAAACAATAAAATTGGAAATCATTTACCTGTACCAATGTTTAGAAGTTCCTTGCAACTCCTAAACTTTGCCAGTGGCAGTACCTTCGTCCCCATATCAGATGGGTTATAGTGGGTATGAACTTTCTCAAGTCTTACCACCTCTTGAGATACTATATCTCTAATGAAGTGGAGTCTTACATCAATGTGTTTAGTACGCTCGTGAAAAACAGGATTTTTGCATAAATGTATGGATGACTGACTATTGGAGTACACTACCACATAATCATTCAGAACACATAATTCATGAAGTAGACCTCTAAGCCATAGAGCTTCTTTAATAGCTTCAGTGGTGGCAATATATTCTGATTCTGTAGTGGATAGTGCAACAATATGTTGTAACTGTGATTTCCAACTTACACATGAATTAGATAAGGTAAACACGTAAGATGAAGTAGATTTCCTACCATCCCTATCACCCGCATAGTCAGCATCTACAAAACCTTTTAATTTTATGCCTTCTCTATTAGCACTAAACTTTAAGCCTACGTTACTAGTACCCTTCAAGTACTTTAACAGCCACTTTAGCGCTTCCCAATGTTCAGGTCCCGGATTAGCCATATATCTACTGAGAGTACTAACAGCAAAACCTAAATCAGGTCTAGTGCAAACCATCAAGTACATTATGGAACCAATCACATTTGAGTAAGGTACTCTACTCATGTATTCAACTTCACGCTCATTGCAAGGGGATTGTTCCTTAGATAGAAGCCAAAAC